ATTAGATTCAACAGCATACAGCAGGAAAACAGCTAAAAATATGAAAACTAAAAGAAATTGGGAATCGTAAAGATTATGACTGAATGCAGAGTACGTTTAATAGTTTCTTGGGTATGCCAGAGCATCAACGATTGTTGGAAACGGATAAATAAAGCCCTATAGCTTAAATGACAAACAAACTTGACGGCAATACATGTATATGAATGGCGACAGGTGCCCGGGTTCAGGAAGTTTTTTCCCAGAGATGAGCGGTCCACATGAAAAATATTTGTACGAGCAAAAAAGTAATTAACTTTCTCAATCCTGAAATGTGAGAGGACACTTTCATAAGTCTATACTCTGTTTTTGTAGGAGGAAACCACCCTGGAGGTGGGGGGGGGGGTTATGATCAGATGTATATTTGCCAAGTACATCCTGTTAAGAGGTTTTTGTTCGTTTCGTTTTTATTACTTTAAATGATGTAACTTCTAAGTCACTTCACAATATCACCGATATGTTTTTTTCCAAAGCTCGACCAGGATTCTTACAAAAAGGAACATACTATATATAATTCCTGGAGTTTTCATTTCTATTTAATAGTCCAGGGAAAGGGCGCAAAAAATTACACGTGACATTTTGGCGCGAAATGATTGTATCACCCCTTAACTAGAAGACAAATGGACTAATCCAGTAGTATAAAAACGCAGAAAAAAAGGTCAAACGGACATGTCCGTATAAGAACTCGCATGAAATAAATAGCTGTTAGCAAAAAGCTAAAGGCAATAAATACATCAAAATATTGTATCAGCAGTATGGTTATTTTTTATGCTAAATGTTGTTGATGAAATGTATGCTAACTGTTGTTGCTGAAATCCGATGATAATCAGCATGCACAAAATTTTGCTGGCTAACTGTGACCTCTTAGCTTCGCACCTAGGAAATATTGATCCTTAGTAGTGCCTGACGCCGTGACGTCAGGCAAATAATTAACTCCACAACAATAAGAATGATTGATTGATTGCAAATTGTTTAATGTCCCTCTCTAGATTTTTTACTCATATGGAGACGCCACCACTTGCCAGTGGAGAGAAGCAAATTTGAACTATATGCGGTATATTGCATATATTTGCCCTCACAAAAGTCAAGTTTTGAAAACTTCTGAAATGTGCTAAATTCGATAAATTGTATGAGAAATATTAATTAACAGAAAATAGTATAGTGTCAAAGCAGTGTATTCACAATTTTTGTTTTTATGACGTCACACACTAGTCCGATTTTAAATCCTTTTTCAGAAAGAGGACAAAATGAACAAAATTTCAACAATTTTATCTTTAAAATTTATAGAGCGCAAGTTTGTTCAGGAACAATATTGACATATTTCATTGAAATTATCATTCTACACATTATATCAAAACATTGATCCTGAACACACATGCGCTCGGTGACTTTTACTCAAAATATCGACGAAATATGTACCTTTTTTCTGTAAAATTCATAAAAACTGAAATTTACGTCATATTTGTGACGTCATTACGTACATATGGCGTCATTACTTATGAAAATATTCAGTGCTTTGAAGTCAGTTTATTCTCCCCTGTTTAAGAACTTAATTAAATATATCTCCATCAAAGTTTCTTTTGGGGGGCAAATATTGGTTATTACCGAATAAAGTTCTTTTGTCCTATACTCGGCACTTAGGGTCATTGAGCAGGAAGATTGAGGGATCGTTTTCCTGCCAGCAATTACTGCGACATGGGACCTCGGTTTATACGGTCTCACCTGAGACTGCATCTCCACGTCCCAAAGTGGGATTCGAACGCGCGACATAAGGATCAGCTTACTTCGTGACTCTAGAGCAGACGCTCTAACCACTGCTCCACGCGGGTGACCAATAAGAATGAAAATAAATTAAAAACAAAAATTGTGAATAGAGTAGTTTATACCTTTTTGTGCTACATAATTCCGGCCCCTTGTTTTCATCATCGATGTAAACGAAAACAGAATTATGTTTCGTTTATATAAACAGTACTGCAAAATAATTAATGATGAAACTTCACATTTTATATGGAATTTATGAATACATATTATTTCTTGTGAATCAATTTCTACTACAAATCGGACAATAAAGAGTTTTTGAGCCATGGTCAAATATTTCGCCGCTGTGTCTCACAGTTGTTATTTTCCTATGAGTGTTAATAGGTGTCGCTGTGCTACAAATAAGGTCCGTTATTCTTATTTCAACCATTTTCCTTGAATTAATTGATACCAGCTATAGGTAGTATAATATAATACTAATTTGATCAAAATACATATATAATATTCAAGCTTAAAATGTGAAAAGGAATATGATTTGCATTCACTGATATGTAAATTATCAAAACTAGATTATTTCAGAAAAATGGAGTAGAATAAATGGTTGTGGACATGGATGTTAATAAGAGATTGTATTGGATATCTGATTATCACGGTAGTAGATCACCGATGTGATAACTTTTTTGCCGGTTCAAAACTGTTCGTTCGGGTCGTCGATACATGTAAGCTGACACAGAAGCCTCATGTGCAATGACTAAGGGAAATTGACTGATTAAAAGTATGTTGTTTAACGCCCCTCTTTAGAATAGTCCACTCATATGGAGACGCCAAGGGAGATTAAACACATCGAGAATGAAAAAATTTAACTTCAACTAGATTTAGAGCGTATTTTTAAGTTTCAAAAAGAGTTCCAAAGCCCCGATGGACATTATCTAAACGAAGCTCTACGTACGTTTTCGTGCATGTCTCAGTTCTTTGGAAAAGAGGGATTTAAAGGCGGTGATCATGGCAGGTTGTAAGAATTTTTCAGTCAATTGGAGTTTTGTTCTTAGGATGTCTCTCCACTACATGATTGGTAGTTAAGTCGGTTTCGTTTCAATTATTTAAATGTTTGCCCCCATTCGCGTTCACTGTAGAATTGAAATAGGTAATATGTATAAGAAATGGAAAGAAATCAAAGCTTAAATTTATTTAATTTTTAATAATTGTTATCCCCAAGTAACACTTTCACATCTTTCTTCTGGGATTCCCTTCTGCTTATAGATATCAGAACTTTATCACTGTTTCCGTTGCATCGTTCGATCCATGCTATGTCTCATCACCCTAGATGTGATTGAAAAGCTGGTAGGCAAACCACTTACTACTAAAAGTAAATTAGGGTCCAAAATCCATTTTATTTTTATTCTGTCTAAACAAGGTCTACATTTTTTTTGTGCGTGTCCTACTTATTTGGAATAGATGCAAGATTTCTCATTTAAAGAAGTGATCAGGGCGGGTTGTAAACAGTCAGGCTATTTTTTTAAATAGACTGGCGTTAATGTAGCCATTGAGAAATTTGGAAGTATAAAAGGCGATTCAATGTGGATTCTTTATTCAAATGGGAGTAATTGAAAATGGCTTAAAATTTTGGAAATATTTGGCATTTGTGATTTTTTTTTGACTGTGATTGAAGTTGGATGATGTGTTGAGAAAGTACACCATAAAGCAATGCATTGTCAGAGAATAGTCTGGATTTAGGTGGGAATTGACTAGAGTTTTAAGGATTGTAGCTTATGGAGGACGGATATGACCAATTCGGTGAATGTTCACATAAGCTGAACACGAAATTGAGACACATTTCTTCTCCATGTAAGAGATTTTTTGAGTACTACATCTTAATTCTTGACAAAAGATAGTCACTACCAAGACAGTCACAGAACTAAAGTCTATGTTTCGGTTCAAAGACTATAAGACTTAGTTCAGTTTTGTCCAAGTGTAGTTGAGAAGGTTCACATTCAACTTAAGTAATTCAGGTTTTCCTGTAATACCTTAATATATTTTGATCTAATTTTACATTTTTGGTTGGTTTCATTTCGCTTATTTTGGTTTGTATATTTTTTATCTAACTTATCAAACTATGTATGAAAATTTACAACAGCTGCTCATTAATCATTATGACATCGAAACCATTATGCTAAGTTGAGAAAACATTTTCATTTATCTGTTGGTATATTGGATCTTCTGTCAAGGACAGGGATATTCCATGTTGGCCTTGGTTCTCTCTCTCCATTTCCATGTGTTTTCGTAATATCTTTTGTATGTTGTAAATCAGAACGAATATAAGTATGAAGACAAAAACAGATCCCACTATTATTACAATTCCTGAATGATGTGTACGCTCACCTGAAATGTAAATCAGGACTCGTAATCAAACATATGACATGTATTACAAAATATTATACACATGTAACATTGTACATTTTTCCCTTTTCAGTTCAAAACATCTTATTGATATTTTCTGTTGAAAAAATATTATCATTTATACACAGGATTTGATTTGTAATCAAAAAAAGAAATATCCAGACAACTAAATAAAAAAAAAATGAAAAAGTTGAGCAAAATTGATATTTTTATATTAAAAAAAGTATCAAATGCTGTAAATGAATTATCATGTGCAACATTGCAGTTTTGAATCCATCCGCGACTACTAATTTTTGCGACTTACATACATAGATGAAGCGTTAACTCGCGTCGAAAAATTATTGCGAGGCTCTCGGATATTTCGCACTCAAGCATAAAAGTTGGTTTGATAATAACAGTGACTGTCCAGTCTATCAATTTACAAATAAAGCCCATGTTTTGGAATATGTATGTAAGATTTTTTATGGATTATCTAAGATGCAATCCCCAAGGACTGGAACACCAGAAATAAAGATTTATGTATATTTTAATTTTACGAAAAAGAGATTACTGATTTTTGTATTCACTATAATTATCGATACAATAAATACATTTCATATATTTTTTTATGATTTAACCATCATGAACTTTTTGTAATGTATTTTTTTTTTTTCAATTTGTTTCAGTACACTATAATCTTAGCTGTGATGTGTTCTTATATCATTTCATTATCTTTTATATTAATACCAAATGATATGATATTAAAAATTAATGTAAATTAGCTTTAATTTAGAATATTTAAATCGTAGTTAAAGGAATGTTTTTCTTACGGTGATCAAGTTTTTTCTCATGTCCATTTCCTGGTTGCAAGCATTTTCCTGTTATGAAATCACATGTATTTCTGCATGCTTGTGGACAGAGTGACTGACATCCATTTCCGTAATTTCCTTGAGGACAGGACTCGTTACAATTGAATCCAAAGTATCCAGGAGGACATGCTAATACATGTGAAACAATAAATTATAAAATTGATTGCAGTCTCAATATAGTGTTGAACATATTTTATACCCGTATCATTTTGTCTTCAGATAACATGTTAACTAGAATATTTAAAAGGATACAGTGTTAAAAAAGATATTCAAAAGCATTACCTGGTTTGATTTATGACTAAAATTGGGTTGATTAGATATTATTTAAAAGGAAGCAAACACTCCAGTACAAACTAAATTCCGTGTAAAAATAGACTGTGTTTTGTTACATAACTGTTGTGTTCAAAATAAGCTCAATAGCAAGTCAATATAAAATTAGCTGACAATAATTTTGTTTCCTTAAATCAAACCTTCTACTCTCTAAGTCTTAAGAACGGAACAAATAAGAATATAAACCGCAAAATGAAGAAATACAGTCCAAAGAAAACGAAAAGAGTAGATTTTTTAATAAGAAGTATTTTCTTACGTTTACATGAATTTGCCTCCTTGTCTAACGCTTCGCCAGCTATGCATACAACACTATCTCTAAAAAATGTGACTTCAAATCAAACAATATTCAATTGTGTGAAAAGATAATAAACGTCATTAATAAGACAGCTTACTTTTCTCTGCCACATCTAATAATTGTCACAAAGAAGAAAATTAAAACGGTGACCTCAAAGCTTCTTCGAAAGACTTTTTCTTCAATCATGGAGAAAACATGTAACATTTAGATTGTTTCGCATTACTTCCTTGATGATGTTTTATACATGAACCAAATAACATTCGATACTCTTCTGTTTATTCCATATATCCTTATTGACCATATTTTTGGTACACTTAAATCAAAGGAAGCAATTTAGATCAGGTACTTTTATGTTATTGCATAATAATTAAAACATTATGGATAATTTCTTCTGGGAAATATGGGTGAATAGTAAAATTTTCTATCCACATCATCTTTGGTAAAAAAAAAAAAATAAATGTCTTAGCTACATCATTCGTGTCATGAGTTATCTGGTCTTAACCAGAGTTAATATGCCTACCGTGAACCTGCATAAATGTCAACATAATTAGAAACGATTCTTTTCATATAGTATGAAGAAAGGGTAAATGAATAGACAAATTTAAATTAAATTTAATTAAAATTAAATTAAATTTAATAGACAATGAACATTTACTGTTTGTTTATGTTGCAATCAACGTGCCCTAGTTGTTAACATTTCTGTTTTCAACTTCAGTTAACCGCTAGCTTATTTTCACTGCTTACAAACATGTGTATACATGTTCACCTTGTATTTACCGTGCGTTCAGCTTCCATTCATTGTTCAGTTTTCTTCCAGTCTTTGTTACATATAGAACCCCCAGTAAAACTCTGTCACATAGAAGGAAAAACGTGCACACACGATTTTGCAGATTTGGAAGATGAAATAATACTGTAATTTGTAAAACAAGATATATAGTCAACACCACAAATCTACTCCACCTAGATTTATCCGTGCAAGCATATAACTTTTATGATATTTTTGAATTAAGCTCTTGAGAAATCGGCACCAAAATGGCCAAGGAATCATCTGATGATTTATGAAATCTTCACTTTGTGTGTTTTTACCATGAATCGTTTTGCATATCCTAGGTGTCGTTTTTACCAAATACCATTTTCACTCGAGAGCCTTTGAACCATAATTCTATTCTGGATATTAAGTGAAAAAGCTATAAAATGCATGTTATTTTTTTTTTGTTTTTGGTTGGGGAGGTTGGGGGGTTATTGAAAGTAAACGGATGCCGGCAGATACGTAAGAAACTTAAAAAATGTAGAATTTATTTTTAGTACATTTATATTTTATAGGAACGTTTAAATGTAAAATATATATTCAAAGAGACTCTCTCTCTCTTTCTTTCACACTCTCTCTCTCTCTCTCTCTCTCTCTCTCTCTCTCTCTCTCTCTCTCTCTCTCTCTCTCTCTCTGAAAATGATAAATCTATTTTAATATAAAGAGCATTCTATTTTTAATCTTTTTCAAAAATAAAATAGCATAGGAAAATTACGTTTTCTTCAGATAAACAAAATACAGGGAAATAAAATCACCTTTTTTTGTGGAATATAGTGTTTATAATCAATTTTCAATGTGAAATCCTTTAATGGTATTACTCATTTCTAGAATTCTCTTTTCCTAACATTGTAACTGCGGTCTTTTACCCCAACGAACCCAACTTACATTTATTATAATATCGCAGCATTTCAAGAAACCGTCTTCCATCTCCATTTTGATAAGCAACAAAGCATTTAAGTATGTTGCCCTATGCAACAAAGGCTACATTTACTATGTTTAATATAATTAAAGACGTACAACACACTGGGGGAGATAACTCTTGCGATTTCAATTGAACTTTGACGTGACGTCAAATTAAACGTAAAAATAAACGTCAAAACGACGAGGAAAACGATCCCGATGTATATCAATCATGAAAGAAAATTGGGATATGGGGCTTGGATGTGATTGTGCGTACCATATAATCAATAAGTATTTTTTTTAAATTCCCCCATTAAACTCCGTAAAAAGCAAGACATAAAATCCATCCCTTAACAATAAATTGTATTTTTTTTCAAAGCGCAGCTTTTTTTTTTTATTCTGAAAATTTTATTTTACATTCCCGAAATTTCATTATGTACAATTGGCTATATAACATTCCGATTAATATTTTATTAAATTTTCACACAAAAATAAATACATGTTAACTATTGTTTAAACAACAATAAATAAAAAAAAAAATTTTTCAATGAAAATCGATGTTTTCGACCCTTTTGATAAAGAGGAACAACTGGGAAAATGTAATGTTTATTTTCCTCCCTTTATTCACGGTTTTCCACAGAATCAGATACATTTACAGCAAGACCTGATAAATCCGAGAATTGAATCTATAGACCTCTATACACAATGTAAGTATAGAATTGAAAAGAATTGTTCACTTGTACTGAAATTATTTTTTATGAATAGCCTTTTTTGCAGCAAATGAACTTTGATTTTCTGTCAACAATGTGGTTCGCATTTCCTCGAATCAAAACAAAACGTAGCCTATAAGATTTTAAAAAATATCAATGTGCGATTTGATATAAATTGAAATAGATGAAGAGTTTAAGGGAATTTTGAAGTTAATGTGGACGAAACGGAATTTTCATTTTAACTTTAGAAGCGACGACATTGAAAGAAATGCGTACAATATCATGAGGGTTGTAATGCAAATGTGTTTATCCCCATGGCCACATACTGTCTCGTTTGAAATAATGACATGAAAGAAACTACAATTTTTCCCAATTATATCACAGGAGAGTTGAACATACACCATTTTTTAATGAATGAAATTAAAGAAATAAAATTAAAAATCAACATATTCAAGTTCAACAAAACTTGAATTCGTATCCAGGTTTCATGTGATATGGAATGCATAACTCAGACATATATGGACTAAACCTAAAAATTTTCGTAATTTTTTCCTGATCAAAAAAAAGAGTAGTCAATATTTATTCTGCATTCATAATTTTAAAAAAAAAATATTCCCCGGGGGTTTTTCAAATCCCGAATATTTGCACTGTAAAAGACGTTTCGTCAAACTCTAATTAAATGGTCTGCAAACCCCCAAAAAAAGGGAAAGGGGGGGGGGTGATGGGGTATTCAAAAATTCCTAAAAATCTAATTTTAAAAACGCTTTAATATGAGAACTTTTAAATTTTAAGTTAATATATTTTTTAAGCAAAAGCAATATTCCAATTTAATTTTTTTAAATGTGTATTTGAATTCATATAACAAAGTGATCGACCCCTCTAAAGACGCGCGGGGGAAATATTTTTGGAAAGGGGGAGAGGGGAATTTTCCGCTATTAAATCAAAACTGGTCGTACAAAAATTATACAAAAAATTATGAAGATTTTTTTTACCAGCTACCTAAAGAAAGTTTTTTACCAAAATTAAACGACAGTTTTTTTTTCACAAAAAATTTTTGAATTAAAATACGCAATTTTCAAGGCTTAGAAAATTCATAGTTTTTAGTTTAAGGTCTTTAAAAATTGTTTTGATGATATGTATATCAAAAAGATGACTATGTTTTTGTGTGAAATGGTTAAAGGAATAAGCCAATGAAATTTGACATTTATATCTAACCTGGTTTTTTTTTAAAAAAAGGAATATTCATTGATTAAAAATTTTCTCTTTGTAAACAACTAAAGGGGGGTAATTTCGGAAGTTTCCCTTAAAAACCACTCGAACGATTTTATCCAAAATATGCATACATGCAGTAGATATAGTCATGTACTAAATACTAGTATACGAAAATAACGAAAATTAAACGACAGGAATTTTTGGGAGTAGGTGTGTTGTAATCCTTAAAATTATTTTTTATAACTGATGAAGAATTCCATAAAGAAGAAGATATAGTATAGTTTTTTTTTCCCTAAATTTAATGTTCCTAAATATTTTTGAAATATGCTTGAAAAGTATTGAGTAGATGAAAATGATAAATCATAAAAAAAATATGGTATGAATAAGGAATGTTCTGGAAACATGACGGTATTGGTTTGGTACATTTCTTTAAGTTTAAAGCAGAAAAGCCTCAAAATGACTAATTCGTGCTTATTTTTCTCTTGAAAATATTTTTACCACCGTCACCCACTTCAATTTTTCTATATATTACATGTAATATTATGTAAAATAAATTTAATACAATTGTTTGAAAAAAAATCACATATCTCAAAATGTTTGTTGGCGATGCATGCAAAGTATGTTTTCTGAAAGAAATTTTTAGTTTAAATAATGATGCCTTCTGCAACTTTTTTTTTAGAAAAAACGGGAAAATGCACCAGTTAATGAAGTTACAATTAGCATTTGGAGGTCATATGAGAAAAAAAACAATTTTTGTATTCTTACTGAATTGAATTTTTTTTTTTCATTTAATCAGGAAGAATAAATTTTAAAATCATATATTTTATCAACGTTTTAAAAAATTCAGGGCTTGATTTTATTGAAAATATAGGTTTGATTTTTTTTCTCTTTCACTTAGCCTCTCCCTTTTTAATGTGCTTCCAACGACAAGGGTTAACATCCATTTCATAAAAAATCCCTCAAATTCCCGAAAATATAAGCACGTTATTGTGGTCTGAAACCGCCATTTATTTTGTTAAGTGTATCTTTAAAACCCAAACATACCCCAAGAAAAAGTACAAAAACGTACATGCTTGCCCTCATGTATTTAAAGTGTTTTAAAAATTCCACACATATTTATGAACTGTTAAGTATGAAGTTAGATCTTATTTAAATGCGTTTGTAAAACGGTTATATATATATATATATATATATATATATATATATATATATATATATATATATGGGGGCTTGTTTAAATGTCAAAGGTATATAATTTGAATTATGTGATATTGTGATGCTTTTTTCTGTCCCTGAAAGTTTTTCTTTCCATTTTTTCGTGCAGCGTGCGTTCACCGTTCGCTCTCCGATAACATTTTTTGCGTTCACCGTGCGCTCGCGTTCACTGATCACAAAACGTTCATCGTTCGCTGTTTGTTTTTTTTACTATGTCCTACATTTGGGCAGAGTTCATTTATGTTCGTCTTTAAATTTAAAAGAACGTATCTTTTTTGGGGTAAAAATTCACACGTTTTTAAATTTAATAAAAAAATATCGTGTTGAAGAAATATTATTTCATGGC